CCCCAGCGCCAGCCTGGCCTCAGACAAGCCTCGGACGGGCCGCCTTCCTGAAGGCTGGGGGACGCTGGAGGAAGTCGCTGCTCTGCTGTTCAGGCACATAGGGCAGCTGGTGTGCAATGGCTATGCCATATACCAGGTCCTGCCAAGTCCAGCTCTCCAGAACAACAAAGGTTTGTGATGAACGATTCGCGGTTTAAAGCGAGAAAGTTATGAATAAATTGAAAATTCTTCTATTTCGCTGTAAAAATTCTTGTCAACCAGTTTTAAACTGCAACTTAGTATAACTTAGTATCTCTAGTGACTGCTTATTATATGATTGGGCTTTATTAATTAATACATATAGTTTTGATAGTTTCTCTAATAAAATCAATTCCATCTTTATAGCATGCCGTCAGTGTTTCTAAATGTTTTGGTATCTTGTTGGTAAGAATTGTTAGATTATTTATTTGGTAATGAACACGAAACAATTTACGATTAGGACAACCGAAGTTTGATAAGCAAACACATATTTCTTCCAGATCCTCTCGCATCTGGATGCAGCATAGAATCTCTGAGCCAGGAACGTTTGGCATCTGCTATTTTCGCCACAGCAAGTCTCATGAACCACTCCTGCAAGCCAACGACCATCAACAGGTTTGTGAATTCATTTACGCTTTGTAAAAATACTTTGGGATGAAACCAAACTTAGGATATACTCTGCCTCATCACCCCGCTTATATAAGTTTCAAAGTAAATGAGGGATATTCAATTTGAGGAAAATTCTTAAACATGCGAAAATTATTCTTATTTAACCGATCCCTCTTATGTCGCTTGGAAGTTCTGCTCTAAAGTTTCAAAAACATTTAGAGTTTATTTTCTATTTTACCTTTTTTCTATATCAAGGTGCATGTTGTTGTTTATCTCGGTTCCATGTTTCTAACGCTCACTCCATCACTTGAGTATTTACACTTGCTTCTGCCTGGGGTGTTCATCGACGTTTATTTTACAGTTATGTTGGAAACCTTCTGGTGATCCGAAACTTGGAGGAAGTTGCTCCAGGACAAAAAGTTTATTCATGTTATGGTGAGTTGATGTCCTTATTCTTCATCAAATTCATAAATCATTCATAGCTTTAGGAATAAAAGTTTACTCATATTATTATGGGTTTATGTCCTTTTAACTCAGGTAGGTATTTATGTGCTCTGAAGCATTATCCCGTTTCCCCTCCGGTTTTAGTTGAGGTCTCTGGATAAATACTATCATTATTCGCAGTCATGCTATCAATATTGCAAGTCGGTTGTAGGAACTAGAAGCAAAGGAAAAGGCTAAGCAAATGATCGTCAGCATTGAGACTTTCACGTTAATTTCCGGTGAGTGAATGAGCAGAATTAAATGTTGAAATTATTTGGTTCTATGATCATAAAATTAGACAGAAAATTTAATATACGTGGAGTTCTTATCGGGAAATAAAAATCTACTGGCGTGTCACTATACAGATCTTAACACTTGAAGCGAATGATTATTTCACCAATTCTGAACTCTGTATGTGCTGTCGAGTTGAATGTGTCTACAATTCATTAATACGCCATATGCGCTAATGAAAAAGCCTTGTGATAGTTGAACGTCAATTTTTATTATCTCTACAGGCCCACATTATAGCCGGCACACTCGGGCAGAACGGCAGTCTCTGTTGCAGCAGCAGTACCACTTCACTCGTAACAGTATTTTTTGCTCATTATTCACATATACTAACTGTGCAGGAGTGTCGAGTCTTGAGAAGAAAGACTGCGATGTACGCTTAGTCGTCAAAAAACTGCAGCGCGCGCTGCGCTCTGCTGAACGCGTGTACGGTGTGGAAAATCAGTTCCTTGGCTCCATCCAAGACACGTATGCCATGGCCTTGTCTGCTCTTGGTACGTTGACTTTTACAGAATCTACACAAAGTTTAAAATTTAGACTGTCCAACAACGTACTAATGTTGTTTTTTTTTTTTTGTTACGCGGCAGATTGACAGCTACCCAACCTACACTTTCAATTTGAACCATTGATATTTTTAGGCATATGAGAATTATAATATGAGGTATTACGCTCACAATAGGCAAGCTCATAAGGTATGAGCGTGCCCTGGTTTCTTCAGTACCGAACAGATTAACATTAACAACAGATTCATTAGTATGAAATCCTTTCATGAACAGGGTCTTTCGAGGCATCAACCAACATCTTGAAGAAATCCGTTTTGAAAGTTGGGCGCCGATACGGGCAAAGGAGCGTTGAGCTTGGGCATGAAATTATCAAGTTATGTGGCGTCATTAAGCAGAGGATGCAGCATATAGAAGACACCTCTAGCCTTCTCTATAGACAGTGAGTAACTCGTTGGGTTGGTGAAATTTAAGGCGACGATGTGATTTAAATCGACACCCGATGCTTTATTTCAGATGGGATATCGAAAAGCTCTGTCAAGAGCCTGTCAATAAAACATAGCTATTTTATTCGACCTCCGAAAATCGCGAAAAATAATTCCATGGATATGTTGGCATTTATCTAATATAAAATTTTCGTTTCCCTTTGCGGGTGTTCTGCATAATTCACTGATATTACAAACGTACGATACTTATTTTAACTTTTACATGATTCTGATAATTTTTTCAGGAGAAAATTGATTTTCTTTGCTTGTGCAGGTTGAAGCGGGAACACTATTATATGTCAGATATCGTTACTACAATTTTCACAGTAATCTACGGGGAGGACTGGCAGACAATCTTGAACGTTCAAATTTGAAGTTATCAAATAAATATTGCTCTACTTCACATATTCACCCTATTTGATCCTAAGCTTTAATATAGCGGAACTTACACTCGGCTATTCCGCGGACTGCTTTTCTCTTTGTACGGCAAAACTTCTGGATCTCCAAACGATTAGTAATTAGATAGTAAGGAGCATATTCTTTGAGAAGTAACAAATAACTATCGCTACATTACCGGACAACTATTAGTAACTTCCCACACGCCACCCACCTTCCCAGCGGCCCACCATTTATTCAAAATAAGCACCTTTGCGACGATTATTTGCGCATTGAGCACGATATAATGCAAATAATAGCACGTATTTAGCTCCTAATACATTGTATTGCATTTAAACGGCGTCCGATGGTACTCTACCACTTACACCATTGCACGGAACCTTCTAATTGATACTAATCACAAAAACACGATGGCTACTCCCTCAAAGGAAAATAAGCGAATAGTGGGTTACAATGGATGTATTATTATTGACCGTTCTAACGGGTATACGTAAGGCATCTTTGACTTTGGAAAGAAACCAATCGGCCATCAGCATCGAGGGCATGAAAACCGTCCTTTCACAATAGACTGACATAGTGAACATTAGATCTATAGTCAACTGTAGCGACAGCGAAATGAAACTACATTACTCGATTTCGAAACGAAGGTTTACGCTCTAATGACGGAAATCGCTGCAATGGAACATTGTCCGTTCAAACATGAATATCAACATAACGAACATTGCTTTTGTACAGAGCTACAGAAGATACAATATTTACAAAAAAAATACACCGTCAGACGTTGTTTAAAAAAGTTTAACAGGTCAAATAATTGGTCAAATTTGGAAAGAAAAAGACATTAAAGTTAGTACTGCTGATAGAGTAAAAGCGCCCGAAGATGTTACTAAAATTGTAAAATTGAAACGACGCCTACATTTGCCAGATGGTAACAGGGTACAAGACAACTCTGTTGAAACACGGGGCGACTCAATGACCGCCTCAAATATACTCTTAACATGCCTGCCTACTTATTTGTTACTGAAGGTTCAAAATATTGTGTGACAGGGAAAATTGCGATCAAATTACTTCTGAAGTTAAATCCAGAGCCTAATAGATCACAAGATTTTAGCAAGACATTAGATTGTTCTGGAGCAACTTACTTTTGACAACGAATCGTTCCCTTCAGAAATACATCATTATTTGAAACGCCGATTAATACTCTCCGGAAATGGACATAAATAAAGCACTACATAAATGAACCGTCAAACGATATCACTCTTACGGCTTGAGTGAATCGAAGCTACAAAATATTATACAAACTATAATACGCCAATAAAGGGACTTCGCTTACAACACTGCAACTAACTCAACGCTATATATAATTATATCATACTGGCTACCTAAAATTGACGCTCATCAGCTTCTATAATAAATAAAGCCATTAGATGCGACTGCTGCCCTGCAAAATATGTGATGAAAGGAAAAATCTTCAAGACGCAAATGAAGACTAATGCGTCATGGGCCTTCAGAAAATTTTACTCGCGATATAATAACATAAATGAATATGAATTTTACATGAACAACAATACTTGAGGGTAGAATTTAGGATGCAAATTACACGAATGTTACTTTTGACGAATAAGGAGTAAGGGGAGACTGAAAGCCACGGAGTGTAGATGGCGGAAAGAGTCCCTGGATGTTAAACGCTTGAGAGCCAACTCGGTGTAATCTGTTCAGTACCCCAGTCTAGTTGTTATGGAGTTATTCTCTCACCAAATTATGAGTGTAAAGTAAGAGTAACTGAATGTGATATCCAGACCCACGGTCTGTACCGCAAGAATGAGTTCACTACTCGGCCTTTCGAAACTTCTTAGTGACTTCAGAAGCACTTCTTGCTCTATAAAAAAATATAACTCAGTACTCACTGCAGTGAGTGACAGAGAGCTCATTTTCTCGTCGACGAAAACTTGAGGTCACGGACGGACAGACAGACAGACGGACATGGCGAGCACAATGGTGCATTTTTTCCATAAATAAAAAAATGCGCTAAAAATATTGATAAATAAAACAAAACAGATCACCGGATTGATACAGACAAAAACTGACCATTTCAGACCATTGTTGAGAACAATAATTTCGTATTAAAAGGAAGCGCAGCTTAGATTTGTAAAATTGAGGAACAAGAAAGGGCTGAAAACTTACTGAATCATAAATCGATATTTTCAGTTTATTTTTGGATTACACGTGTACACTATAGGGAGGAACAATAAGATTTCAGAATTGTACTTACAATTAAAAATGACTCGGAAACGTTCATGAACTGAGAAATAATAAATGTCCGATGAGTAAATAACCAACCAAATATGGAAGTTGAAGGAAGAAAGAAGTACTCTTCACGGGGCGAGGGAAGTAACTATACAAAATTCGTGTACAGCTTCAATTAACTACAATATTTGCTCTAGGGAATACATCTGCCTCATAATAATACCTTTGCGTGAAACGAGTAACACCCTAAAGTATTTTAAAACCGTTAGTATGATAATTAAAATATCGTCCTGAGCTCCATTTAGACAACAGAATGCTAACCTCAAGATCGGTAATGATGACACTGTAATGACAATGTATAATTTATAGTGAAGATAGCAGAGAGAGAAGACATATTTAACGAGTAATACCCTAAAATTTTTACAGCTGTTAGTATGCTAATTAAAACATGGTCCTGAGCTCCATTCAGACAACAGAATACTAACCTCAAGACCGGTAATGATGACACGGTAATGACAATATATAATTTATAGTGAAGATTTCAGAGAGAGAAGACATATTTAACGAGTAACACCCTAAAATTTTCACAGCTGTTAGTATGCTAATTAAAATATGGTCCTGAGCTTCATTTAGACAACAGAATAATAACCTCAAGACCGGTAATGATGACACTCAGTTATATGTATAATTTATAGTGAAGACAGCGGAGAGAGAAAACATTTCCCTGCATAGAAGGAAACGTCAGGAATGATGCAACAGGTCTAAGCTTGGGGAAGACCGGCAGCAGCAGCAGCAGCGGCGGCACGCTGTAGCTCCATGCCAGCGATGAGACCACACTCCAGCATCAGGTAATCTCCACTGCAAACAAACGTTACCAATTAATACCCCTTACAAATTAATATAATACAATTAACACAGGTAATCTCCACTGCAAACAAACGTTATCAATTAATATCCCTTACAAATTAATATAATTAAAACTATCAATGCATAGTCAGGTAATATCCACTGCCAACAAACGTTATCAATCAGGTAATCTCCACTGCAAACAAACGTTATCAATTAATGTCGTTTACAAATTAATATAGTGAACATTATTAACAAATGCAACCAGTTAATATCCCTTACAAATCAATATAGTGAACATTATTAATGCAGATCACCGGGACTGGCTTAGTTAAATAAAACTTGCAGTGAAAATTGATTTCAGAAACAAACGCAACCAATTACTATCGCTTGAAAATTAATATAATGAACATTATCAATGCAGATCACCGGGACTGGCTTAGCTAAATAGAACTCTTAGTATGAATGGGTTTTCAGATTCAAATATCAACAGAAAATATTGCTGTATTGTAATTGTTATAAACCACTTACGTTTACTTCAAACAAAATTTTTGAATGGCCATGACGTGGATCTGGGGCCGTACTATCGAAACTCGCTTAATTAGCGGCCGTTTACTTGTCTGTGATTTAGTTTAGCTTGAAAAGCCGTTAGTGATTGGCTGACGGAGCATCGAACTCGAAACCATTTTTGATGGCACGGCCTCACTTTTTTCGCACATATAAAGTGTCAGGTTGAATTATGTTAACTCCAACAATAAAAAAAGAAAACTGTATACAAATTAAAAAAAAACATTTCAGTTGAACCCAAGGTTAGGCATTTGGAAAGTAAAATTTCATTTTTCGGCGATTCTGTCTGCCAGTTAAGGTGAAGTATTCAGGGTGGATTGTGAACCATTTATTACCAGGCATCCTGGTAACCAAAAGATTGGGTGGTCGAAGGGAAAAAATTGGGTCGACCACCCAAAGAATTGGGTGGACAAAGTGGTTTAAAGTTCAAGTTTCAGCCCTGCAATTGGTAAATTCATTAAAAAATAAACTGGGGTTATAGATTAGTGACATGACGATTAGTTAAAGCATATTTTTCTTATATGTAGACTCTATAGCGAGCTCTAAGCGTTGTCGACATCGACAGAAAGATCAGAGCTTAATAAACATGTATTGATAATGAAACAATTGAGTTTTGGTAGTTTTTAGCCCGGTATTTAACATAATTTTTAGGACGAGGTTAAACTTTGCTTGCATCAAAGAAAACAACACGACAGGCATATTATTTACGGCGATAATGAAGATAAAATATAAATGCTTTCTTTTCATGTGAGCATTGCTTGTCAAACTCTTCGAATTTTAGAATCGGCCTGTGCAGTTTCAGATTATTAATGGATGAAAGAAGATAAAAACGTAAATGCTTTCTCTTCATGTGAGCATTGCTTGTCAAACTTCTAAATCTAGTATCGGCCTGTACAATTTTGGTTAACATATTAATGGAGCCAGACAATATCGGGGGTTAGTGGTAGCATGAAGCCATGCGCAAGCTAAAACAATGAGTGAACATTACCTTGTACATAATAATAGTGAACATTACCTTGATTTATGTCAACCCGCACTCTACTCAAGTCCTTGTTTATTTGTTGTATTTTCATCTGTTTTGGGAGAAGAAAAGCAAAAATGAATAAAAAAACATACAAAATAAACAACTAATAGGAATGTTCAAAATGAACCCGTCCATCCGCCTGAAAAAGCAACATTGCTAGCAGATAAATCAAAAATCTAATAGGACTAATCTTGGTAAATGCGACTCTAAACAACAAATAGCAAAATGTCACTATGTTTTTAATCGGCGAGTGATAGTATATGATCAGTGCTGCAAGTTTAGTGCTCTTTGGAGTACACGTAACGAACAACGAAAGCAAGAAGAACAAATATTTTACACGCAAGTTTTGCCTCAGTCTCACTTCACGACTTCCAGGAGTGATTAAATCCATCAATCAAATCCGATTACCCGTAAACGAAGATGCAAATGAAATTATCGTTTGAATTTGTTGTTGTTAAAGAAGTAATTATGATTTTTGTCTTTCGATTAGAAATAAACTTCAGTTGAAAAATAAACTCGGTGGTCGTTTGCAACATAATTTGGAATTTGAAACATAATTTTGGAACTTTTTAAGTTTGGAATTTGAAAAACTCCAAGTCATAGAGACGAATGAGGAACTTACATATACATATAAAAAACAATAATTGAATGATTTATAAAATGTTTACATCTTCTACAGTTTAGAAATACCAGAGCTGGCAACAAATGTGATTAGAGATAAATTTCAACTTGCATATAACGCTGAAACAACTAAAGCCATTGTAACGAAACAACGACGCTAAAAAAAAAGGCACGAGAGGAAAATTTATCTGGAATGGGAATGAAGCATTGAAAATAAAGAATTATGCGATAACAACAAAAGACTAAGAAAAATACAGAGGACAAAATTTGATTCGAATGTATATTAAGTGAATGAAAGGATGAATGTTCAATACTTTTGGTTCTTACATAAAGCAAATTAGAGGAACAAGCGAAGATATAATAACCAGAGAAGAAACATCAATTATCAAATGCAATTAATATGCACAACGTCTATACTTTGACATTCAACATAAGAGAGCGCACACGTCGCGCATGCTGTAGCATACATTTCGATTTCGACAGGATGCCACATTGGATGAACGGTTGTTGATTTAAAGCGGCGTCCGGTGTTTGTAACATTAATTTAAGGGTTCGTGTAGGAACAGATTATAAAACATTGATACACGATCATTCTGGTGCATTGGCATCATATTCTTTTACCCAGTGAAAATTTACAGGCGCGTCAGCTTCTGATTTGGATTGCCAGAAGCTGGGGCGACTCTAAATTTTGTAGGGTAATAGAATTTTCATTAATGTCTATTTTCCACGAACTTTTCGAAGCACCCTCGTATAGCATGTACGGAAATGTAGTACATCAGATGCACATTAACACGACGAGATCGTGAAGACGATAACGGAAAAATAATAAAAAAATAGCACACATACATACAGACAGCGCGTATTTAGCAATAAAATTCAGCGAGGCCATCTGTGTCGCGACATATTCATGAATTTGAACACAGCGACCATACAAAGTTAACGTGAGTAAACTAACGTCACAACATACAACACACAACATACAACACATACAACATACACACAACATACAAGAGTCGTCACACATACAATAAGATGTTCCTTTGATAATATGGCTGTCGTGCGTGTATATACACGTAGTACGAAAGGGGCTTCAAAAAGTTCGTGAAAAAACGGTACAGTTTGAAAAACTATCCAAGTCATGGGTTTGATTTTCATACATATGCTCGATCTAGGTCGATGTATTTCTGTAAAAGAGGATCCCAGCCAGAAAGTCACCAGTGAAATATTGATAGTTATGCGATTTGAGTCATGTTTTAGCAGCTCTTTAAGAAGGTTCAATTGATAGCAACTGAGTAGGTACCTTCGATGACTTATTCAAGTTTGGAAATAAGAAAAAAAGCCGGATGAGGCTAACTCGGTCCTATAAGGTGGATGTCGAATGATTTCCCGTCAAAATTCACGTAGCACAGCCCCTGTCTGCCGAGAGCCAAGTGCGGATACCCTGTCGTGGTGGGAGAATGACGCCGATGCTGCTTCTCAAGACGTTCTTCGGCGATTTTCTTGGAACATTTCATCAAAATCTCTTCATAATGAACAGATGTAATATTTTTCTTATTCTCGATAAAATCAATTAACAAGATATCCTTCGCATCTCAGAAAACCCTCCCTGATTTGCTCAGATTTTTCTTCTACAGGTTCACTGTCTCCCCTGAACAGCCCTTACCATATTCTATCAAATTCATCATATTCTTTTCATGGAATTTTCAGTCATTTCCATTTTCCATGAACTTTTAGAAGCAGCCCCGTATAGCATGTACAGAAGTGTAGCACATCAGATGCACAATTAACACGACGGGATCGTGAAGACGATAACGGAAAAATAATAAAAAAAATAGTATTTAAATCGTTTTTGGAGACCTTTCTACGGAACCCATTATGCAGAATAACCATTTGGCTATATCGATTAGAGTCGACTAGCAGGTATATAATTGACAATAAATGGCTGTCTATGGGAGCGCCATTAACTATACATTAACTACTTGATAATTTGAGAGATGTCGTTCAACTGACCTGGCTGAAGGGTTGCCTGAATTGACCATAAATGGCAGTGTATGGGAGTGCCATTACCTATACATTAACTACCGTACTTGATAATTTCAGAGACGTCGTTTTCAACTGACCAGGCTGAAGGGTTGCCTGAAGGAGGGGTCAGAGTGTCTATAGCAGGTATATAATTAACCATAAATGGCTGTGTACAGGAGTGCCATTACCTATACATTAACTACTTGATATTTTTTGCAGAGATGTCATTCAACTGACCTGGCTGAAGGGTTGCCTGAAGGAGAGGTCAGAGTCACAGGTCGCTGGTTGTCCTTAACAAGAGTGCGGCAGGAAGCAAGTCGACTCTCCAGCGCCTGGCGTCGTATTAGTAGATTAGTGAGGCCGTATTAGTACGGCACATAATTCAGGCCTTGATGACTAGTGCGGCCATATTAGTACGGCACATTATTTAGGCCTTGATGAGTAGTGAGGCCGTGTTAGTACGGCAAATTATTCAGGCCTTGATGACTAGTGAGGCCGTGTTAGTACGGCACATTATTCAGGCCTTGATGACTAGTGAGGCCGTGTTAGTACGGCTAATTATTCAGGCCTTGATGACTAGTGAAGCCGTATTACTACGGCACATTATTCAGGCCTTGCTGACTAGTGAAACCGTATTAGTACGGCACATTATTGAAGCCTAGTGAGTAAGAAAGACTAGTGAGGCCGTATTAGTACGGCACATTATTGAAGCCTAGTGAGGCCGTATTAGTAGGGCACATTATTCAGGCCTTGTGAGTAACAAAGACTAGTGAAGCCGTTAGAGTTCGGCAGGTTACAGAGACTACGACAACGCAGTTTAACCCTCTACCGCTTGACACGAGTAACCGGAGCAATATTGTCACTATTCTATTTCACAAAAAGGATACGTTCTAGTGAGCGCAAAATGACTTGCACTGATGGTTGCCGCCACGTACGACAACTTTAAAATGTTCTCTGTTGCGTACAAACGTCCTCAGGTTGCTACANTACCGTTAACGGTCATTTTTCTAACAGTGTATAATAAGCTGCAAATATCTGTTACAATAATTGGTACAGTTAGCCGTGACCCAGCATATGTCAGTTGATGAGATGAATCCTAATGAAAGCAACAAGCTTAACGAAGGTAGCTAAAAACAAACTGTATCGCTGTGTCATAACGCATATATAATTAATAATTTTCAATACTTGATTAAATGAAAGTTTTCAGGGAATAATAGATTTGTTACAAGGACCGCATGACTGGTCTTGTTATTATTAAAAGCCACACAGATACAAGATTAATTTACAATACAGGAATTTAAATCTTCATGTCCATTTAATGGTAAACTTAAGCAAGGTACTCGTGTGTAAGTGACGTGTGTAATTCTTTAGGCGACTCTAAAAACTATACTTTCATCATACAGCGAAAATATTTTGGTGTTAATAATTTTGAATCACAGAAGACCTAGGCTAATTCATAAAAAGACCTTGGCCAATTCATAAAGAAGACCTTGACCAATTCATACAGAAGACCTTGACCAGTTCATACAGAAGACCTTGGCCAATTCCATTATTCAGCTGATAGCAAAATGAGTATTATGTTATAGAAGAACCTCTAGGGGAGCATGTACGTCAAATATCGATAATTGTGACTGTTCCGGTTTTTAAACTCATTTTAAAGATCCAAGAACTGCGCATTTAAAGAGCCCAAAGCCATGTTTCCGCGTCCATTTATTCGTTCACGACAACCGTCGAAGCGCAAGTACGTCGAAAATTTCAAGCGGCAAAGTTGCGTAGTTAAACTGTTGTGAGTGAAGCTGATGTTATATATCTCTCCTCATCACTGCGAGACGATCTTCAACAACGATGCCGAAGCGAAAACAACATAAAGGCTTCATACTGCTCTCAATGGCAGAGATGAGAAAAAAAAGAAGATACGGTGCCTCCATGCAAAATGTTCTACAGTGAGGCTTTGAAACAGGCCGACTCAACTGGGCCGTCGCTATGCCACCTTCCTGAGCGATGGTGATTCGTCTGCATTCAAGGCTCTGTGACTTGAATGACGGCAAAGGCCCTTTTTATGTCCCCTGTTGTTAAGGAAGATTGCATGAATCACGTCGTTAAGAGGTTGAGATCACGGCACAGAGCTCTGGGGCCATACTTTCAAAATTCGCTAAGTGAACGTAAGTACTTACGCTCTATTTTCTTGTCTATGATTGATGGATTTTGCTTGAAAGGCCGTCAATGATTGGCTGATGAACTTACGATCTCTTAACTTTTTTTTTTAAGTATAGGCCCTGAAGTCTAAGACGAAGGTTGTCACCGCGACGAAGCAAGTCATGATGGGCGCGTATGCTAGAGCAGGTCTGCTGACGAACACAACCATTGATGCTTTGACGAGGTATTTTGAGCGAAACCTCCGGAAGCACGACTCAACTGCTGATTTCGCTACCGTAAGAGCATCAATCCTGGCGTCATATTCTCACTCCAGCAGCACAGACGAAAGTCCTAAGCACATGTCTTGCCCCCTTGCCGCAGACTCCTGGGCCTATACTTTCAGAAAAAGTTAAGTGATCGTAAGTTCATCAGCCAATCATTGACGGCCTTTCAAGAAAAATCCACCAATCATAGATAAGAAACTAAAGCGTAAGTACTTACGTTCACTTAGCCAGTTTTGAAAGTATGGCCCTGGTGTTGGGTACGTCGAGCGGAGGCTGCTGGATAGGACCCAGCTCCACACTCCACGAAGAACCTTTGCCTGGCAAAAATCAGGAAGAGCTTCTTCGTGGAGTGTGGAGCTCCTGAATGGAATCATGCAAGTGTATGTGGACTTGACGAGTGAAGAACTTATGAAGTGCTACCTGAAACAGGGGCTCCAAGGAGAGGCAGCTGCCTTAAACAGGTGCTCCAAGGAGAGGCAGCTGCCTTGCATGTGCTCCAAGGAGAGGCAGCTACCATGGAGGTGCTCCAAGGAGAATTCGCTTCATGGGGATCGTGTCTTATTTGTTGCTCAGGGCAATGTCACAGAGTATAGACCATAACTTCAGATACACGCAGGGAAGCCTCCTTCTAGCTCTTGGAGTGGAATCTACTGCCTGACCGCACTAAACTACCAGGATTCCGAATTAACGACTCATAGCCGAAAGCCAAAGAAGCGCTTGGAGACTTTGTTAAGGGACCTAAAACCCGCCTCCCTTTGAGGAGCTGTCACAAAGTCATTTTTCGACGCACAGGGACGATACTTATATCGTTCGATGCGCAAGAAAACAACCTTTAAGATGAGATAAGAAACAGAAAAACTCAACATTTTCAAATTTTAGCTAGGTCGGTCCCCTTAAGTAAGTTACCCGTGTGTGAGTGACGTGTGTAATTCTTTAGGTGACTCTAAAAACTATACGGCGAAAATATTTTGGTGTTAATAATTCTGAATCAAATCACAGAAGACCTTGGCCAATTCATACAATGAATCCTATTCCATTATTCAGCTGATAGCAAAATGGGCATAAAATTATCGAAGAACCTTTTACAGGAGCATGTACAGTACGTAAAAAATCGATAATTTTGACTGTTCCGGTTTTTAAGCTCATTTTAAAGATCCAAGAAATGCATATTTAAAGAGCCCAAAGCTATGTTTCCGCGTTCATTTATTCGTTCACGACAACCGTCGGAGCGTAAGCACATTGAAAATTTCAAGCGGCAAAGTTGCGTAGTTAAACTGTCGTAAGTGAAGCTGATGTTCTATATCTCTCTTCATCACTGCGAGATCGTGTCTTCTTTGTTACTCAGGGCAATGTCATGGACCATAACTTCAAATACTCGCAGGGAAGCCTCCTTCAAGCTCTTGGAGTGGAATCTACTGCCTGACCACACTAAACTACCAGAATTCCGAACTAACGACTCATAGCCGAAAGCCAAAGAAGCGCTTGGAGACTCGGGCGCTTCATACGGTGCTGGATTGGACTTCCCATATTCCTCTCCCTTCTTGCAATATTTTGCCTTCCTTTATTATTATTCATGCGCTGAACAGGACTACAATGAGTCATAGGGCGCATGACGAAACCCACTTTTAGGAGTATTAGGGTCCGTGGTTGTAGATTACAAAGCCTGGGATCTAGTGCCAAGCCGAGGATAAAACCTATACCTTCAATGATAACAAATTACAGTTTTTGGCTCTCCTGCAAACTTGAAATTTTCTTCTTAAAAATCTCCTACTATGATTTTCATGCTACAGCATTGAGAGATACACCATTCGATTCTTAAAGACCTGATCTAGCGGGCATCGGGTCACTTTTTCTGATTTCTTTTTGTTTGGATTACATATCGATAAATACCAAGATCGAAAAAAAACAGAAAAATCACAAAAATGCGAAAATGATCGCATGATCGCCTTTACGAATCGAATTATATGTCTCTCGATGTTGTATCACGTTAATTGAATGATAGGCTAGATTTTCACAGTACTCTCCTTTTTGCCGTTTTTTATGAATTTTAATTAATTTTTAATTTAACTTTAATTTTTTTCGTCACAGGAACAAAATAGTCTTAGTCTATATGTGTACCAAAAGTAAAAAAGTTTATATGTGTACCAAGTTTCGAAATGATCCGTTCCTAAATAAGGTTTTTTTACGTACATGCTCCCCTTAAAATTAAAGGATAGAAAATAGAGTTAAGAAGAAGACCAAAAACCAGAAATCGAAGAAAATGAAGCTTTGCTAAGCATTATTTTTTGTATCGCCGACTTGACTTAAAATGACAAATAAATCAATAAATTTGCGAGAAATAGGCGAGTGATGATCTTGTTTAGAATATAAACTACGTAAATAAACTAAATATGACTTGACGCAAAATGGCAAATAAATCAATAAATTTGCGAGAAATAGGCGAGTGATGATCTTGTTTAGAATATAAACTAAATAACTCACCCCGACTTTCCTTAGCAGGTCACCAACAATATTAAGAGCGTTGATGCGAGCTGATGGAGTCATGGGAGTATCTCCTGGCTTAGAGTTGTCGCCTACTTCTGCACAATAAATAAACATTATGCAAAATGACTTGCACTGATGGTTGCCGCCACGTACGACAACTTTAAAATGTTCTCTGTTGCGTACGAACGTCCTCAGGTTGCTACACTCAATAGTTTACGTATAATTCAAGTTGAAAGTTATGTTGCCGGAGTGTGACTAACGGCGGTAGAGGGTTAAGAAGCGCCAGAGGTACGACAAGCCAGAAAACCGTTAGTTTGCCAGACTAATCCAGACCTTATGACCACAGCTCTCAAAAAGATATGATTTACTTTGGTTACGATTGGAGTTTTGGTTACAATTTTACCCTTTGATTTTTAAGCATGATTACTAACAAAATATTCGTTTTTCTAAGCATGACTACCAACAAAAACGGCGTCAATTTTCGGTTCTAATCCTGCCAAGAAAACACGTGGCAAAATGAACCCCGTCATCGACATTCCCCTGAACTACAACGATGTTGTCTGACAACCGCCAAGTCCCGCAATTAAAACGCAACAGTGACGCAGTGTGGGCAAAAGTCAGTCGGTGTGGGCGGTGTGCTGCTCTCTTTGACTCGAAAAATCGGAGTCCAAAATTTCGAAATTTTGGGCATTTTGGGTCAATTGCTTGGCATGTGTTAGAGTAGCTGTTTTACCGCAATGCTTATCCGCGTTTGATACAAATTGTGCTTCTATTCTTAACGTATAAATTCTACGTTCGTCTACGAAGTTTTGAACGTTAGTATATGTAAAACGTAAGCAATCACTAAGCATATATGTAACTGACGCAGAAAAAAACAACCGCGAGCAATGCTATTAGAAAATTTTGATGCACAAAATAGTGATAATGCACACAAAACAGTCGCCGTCAGCAGAAACTCAAAGTGCACGGATTAAAATTCAAAATTTTTTACTGCAATGTCAAAATAAAAAGAGAATTATAGAAACATTTCTCGCCCTTGAAATTGAAGAACGTGCAAATGATGTATCTCGAGGCAGCGAATAATTGAGAACAGGAAGCTTGAGATCGGTAGCTGAACATGTTTGAATTTTTGGGCAAACCTGTTTGAATTTTAGAGTAAACCTGTTGAAATTTTTGGTTTAAGAGATAGCGAGATACTTGGTACAGTTAGCCGTGACCCAGCATATGTCAGGTGATGAGATGAATCTTTATGAAAGCAAAAAGCTTAACGAAGGTAGCTAAAAAACAAACTGTATCGCTGTGTCACAACGCATATATAATTAACAATTTTCTATACTTGATTAAATGAAAGTTTTCAGGGAATAATAAATTTGTTACAAGGACCGCATGACTGGTGTTGTTATTATTAAAAGCCACACAGTTACAGGATAAATTTTGCAATACAGGACTTTAAATCTTCATGTCCATTTAATGGTAAACTTAAGGGGACCGACCTAGCTCCGGAGAAACTTCTACAGTTATTATCCGATCATCATGAAACTTCACATACATACGTAAAATGTAAAAATAAGAACATTTTGCTCCTATANGTTTTTGGCTCTCCTGCAAACTTGAAATTTTCTTCTTAAAAATCTCCTACTATGATTTTCATGCTACAGCATTGAGAGATACACCATTCGATTCTTAAAGACCTGATCTAGCGGGCATCGGGTCACTTTTTCTGATTTCTTTTTGTTTGGATTACATATCGATAAATACCAAGATCGAAAAAAAACAGAAAAATCACAAAAATGCGAAAATGATCGCATGATCGCCTTTACGAATCGAATTATATGTCTCTCGATGTTGTATCACGTTAATTGAATGATAGGCTAGATTTTCACAGTACTCTCCTTTTTGCCGTTTTTTATGAATTTTAATTAATTTTTAATTTAACTTTAATTTTTTTCGTCACAGGAACAAAATAGTCTTAGTCTATATGTGTACCAAAAGTAAAAAAGTTTATATGTGTACCAAGTTTCGAAATGATCCGTTCCTAAATAAGGTTTTTTTACGTACATGCTCCCCTTAAAATTAAAGGATAGAAAATAGAGTTAAGAAGAAGACCAAAAACCAGAAATCGAAGAAAATGAAGCTTTGCTAAGCATTATTTCTCGTATCGCCGACTTGACTTAAAATGACAAATAAATGAAAAAACTTGCGATAAATAGGCGAGTGATGTTCTTGTTTAGAATATAAACTACGTAAATAAACTAAATAACTCACCCCGACTTTCCTTAGCAGGTCACCAACAATATTAAGAGCGTTGATGCGAGCTGATGGAGTCATGGGAGTATCTCCTGGCTTAGAGTTGTCGCCTACTTCTGCACAATAAATAAACATTATTGAGAGGTCAGAAGAGACTCTTTAATTAGAGAATGATAGGGCCATACGTGCTTACGTAATGAGAGGCTTACAATGGGGCCAGAAGAGACTCTCTAATTAGAGAACAACGATAGGGCCATAAGAGCTTACTTAATGAGAGGCATCCAATGGGGCCAGAAGAGACTCACTAATTAGAGAACAACGAAAGGGCCATAAGAGACTAGTAATTAATGAGAGACTTACAATGGGTCAGAAGAGACTCTCTAATTAGAGAACAACGATAGAGCCATATGTGCTTAATTAATGAGAGGCATCCAATGGGGCCAGAAGAGACTAATTAGAGAACAACGATAGGGCCATAAGAGCTTACTTAATCAGAGGCTTACAATGGGGCCTGAAGAGACTCTCTAATTAGAGTACAACGATAGGGCCATAGGAGACTAATTAATGAGAGGTATCCAATGGGGCCAGAAGAGACTCTCTAATTAGAGAACAACGATAGGGCCATAAGAGCTTACTTAATGAGAGGCATCCAATGGGGCCAGAAGCGACTCACTAATTAGAGAACAACGATAGGGCCATAGGAGCCTAATTAATTAGAGACATTTAATGCAAGCCTATGATAAAGCCCACAAAAAGATTGTTAAGATGACCGCGTTAAGCTGTGATCAAGCAACCGCATGAATGAAAAATGAGAAAAAAATGCCATATTATTAATAAAACAGGTTTCATAGTACAAGAAAATGAAAAGAAATCATACCTGTTAATCATGAATTAATAGAAGCTCTCATCAAATCGTCACGAATATAGCATTAATTTGCATTAGGATTTAGGAAATAAGATTTTGCACATGCATATCCATAAGGACATTTCTCGTTGCCATTCCACGTCATGATAAATTTAAATCTTAATTTCTTCGGGATTGCTATTTATAATAAATTTCATCTTATATATAACATATTCCCTCAATAATCCTATGTTGATTACACACAATTTCAAACGTAATCAATTACACTATCAACATAATCAACTGGTATTCAACATGAAGTTCATTCGGCTAATAAAGAAGCATAATGGTAATTAAGGTTAAACTACCAAGAATGTAAAACCCTCATCAAGTAATCAGAGAAACATAAATTGGCTCACGTCCAAAATATCGTTGAATTAAACGAATAGGGAATATAGACGAAGATACGATAAACACCAAACACACATAACTATAGAATGTTATAATACATAATAAAAAATAATGCTAATACGAAGGAGTCGCATGTGAATACTGAATAATACAGGTGAATACATAATAAAAAACTACTAATACGAGGCAGGCGCATGTGAATACTGAATAACATAGGGGAATAAATAATACAAATACTAATACGAGGGAAGCACATGTGAATACGGTATAATACACGTGAATAAAAATTACTAACACGACGAAAGCGCATGTGAATAGGTACTGAATAACACAGATGAATACATAAGAAATAATACTAATACGAGGCAGGCGCATGTAAATACTGAATAAATCAATAACACAGGTGAATACATAATAAAAAATACTAATACGAGGCAAGCGCATGTTTCACTCACGGTCGAGATTACAAGGCGCGTCGGAGGCCACGAGTTTATTGCTGTCAATAATATAAGAGTTGCCAACAGCTGCTGTTGATATGCTCTTAACACCGTTGATGTGATGCTGTTGTTGTGGTGCCTCTTGTTGTGGCTGATGTNGACAACTGACTTGATAACCGCTCCTGTAAACGCAAACAATTTATTTTCAACTCAACTCTTGCATTATTATAAATTATATATTAAGCCAAAACCAACGTCAGAAGTCAAGGTGTGACTTCATCACCGACAACTGACTTGATAACCGCTCCTGTAAACGCAAACAATTTATTTTCAACTCAACTCTTGCATTATTATAAATTATATATTAAGCCAAAACCAACGTCAGAAGTCAAGGTGTGACTTCATCACCGACAACTGACTTGATAACCGCTCCTGTAAACGCAAACAGTTTATTTTCAACTCAACTCTTGCATTATTATAAATTATATATTAAGCCAAAACCAACGTCAGAAGTCAACGCGCGACTGCAATGCCGACAACTGACTTGATAACCGCTCCTGCAAACGCAAACAATTTATTTTCAAGTCCTGCATGATTATTATCTATACATTAAGCTTAAACCAACGTCAGAAGTCAACGCGCGACTTCAGCGCCGCCGACTGACTTGATAACCGCTCCTGTAAACGCAAACAGTTTATTTTCAACTCTTCATGATTATTATTTATACATTAAGCTTAAACCAAAGTCAAAGTCAGAAGTTAAGGTGTGACTCCAGCGCCGCCGACTGACTTGATAACAGTTCCTGTGAACACAACATTACTTATTTCCTTTACTCTCAATGGTTATTAAAATATGAATTCCGGTCAATCAAAAGTTGGACGTTATGTGCTAGAGATTGCAGGCGTGTGCCTGCAAAGGAAATTTTTCGACCCAACAGCTGATAAATGAGAATAAAACAAGCCCTTCAATATATCGATGAAAAGTGCAGATATTAAAGTTTTAACGGAAAATGTATCAGAATGGAATAAATGTGGAACAGGTAAATATCCTATTAAATCACGTGAATCACATTAAATATACGAGCACTTGAAAATTCTTACCATTATATTCGAGGCTTCTTTTAAAAAATCTGATTTCAAGAGGTTCAACGGCGTTGTTCAGAAAAAATCTATCCACACCTCACAGCAATGTAGGTTAAAATAATTAAAACTTTCAAAAAAAAGGCAATAATCCTTTCTTATACCAAAAACTTGACCAGATGCTCATTTATTGACCTGGGTGATAAGCAATAGTCTCAGAGGTGTGACCTTACCAGCACAGACAATTTCATTGCAGGCGACTGCATGGAACACCTGGCAGACATCATCATCACTGTTCTTGCAACCAAGAACCAACCATATTCATGATAGTACTTCCGCTCATCTACAATAAGTAATTAAAAAGTGTGGTGTAATTTTATTGACAAATTAGCAGAAAGATCAAATTCTGAATGTGATATCGAATGCAATGACTATGAAAATGAATATTAACAGTGAAGAGAAACCTCAAAAATGTGGCTATTTGAATTTCATACCAAAATAATGTTAAATTAGGTTATAACCGTGCGCGCTTGAAGCCTGGCGGCTGACCGATCAAACTAGTGCATAATTATGGCGTCTATTGTGGATTGCAAGAAGATGAGTAAAAACAAAACAGAGTGAGGCACGTGAGAAGAAAAAAAATCAAGTATTTTCATGATAATTTTGAATTTCACGAATACCAATTTCTACCAAAACCATATTTAAAAATAAGTGCGCGAAGAATTAAACATATTTGCAATATCTTGCTATGTTGCTCACAAAGATGAATTGCAAAAGTTATGTGGTGAAGAGAACATGTTAGTTAGTTCAAGCAAAAAAATGGGAAGAATATAGCCACCCTTTCAAGAGAAAACAAACAGAAAAAGATGTAACTGCAAAAAATTCCGAGTATAAGAAATGAATGTACCTAATGACTCAGAAATGTCTTTATAAATTAATATAATGACTCAGGAAAGTTACTGAAATTCGTGCAGCCAACTCATAAAATATGATAAAGTCAGAAAATATGATAAAGCGTATTGTGAAATCCATTGTGATCTGGATTAGGCATTTGAGGGAAAGATGAAAACGGCATTCAAGATAGTTGCATCGACGGTTATACATACAGTATTCGAATTTGAACAAATAAAAAAAAAAAACTTTTCAGATTTTACCCCATATCTTTTGGAGAATTGCATTTGGTACTATGAAATTTGTACCAAATTGCACGGCCACTACTAATTAAATGCTCAAAAATTGCAAGGCTTGTAACGCTAGTAGTTTTCAGTTGAAAACTAAATTATTCAAAAAAGAAAAACCCCACATGTGCTTAAATAAATATAATGCGTTAGACAAAAATACCACTTTTAAAAACTTCTCCGAGTGCATTTTGTCTTTAAAAAGTAATATAAAACCTTAAGGGATCTTCTTTCTTTATTACCATCCTTCTTTTGTTAAGTATGTTGTGAATTGACTGCTAAAATATCAATTGGTTACATTACAAAACGGACAAAAGTCTATGGGCTCTGTTCATCTTAGTATTTTACACACTTGACTGGGCTTTTGGTAATACCTAATATTTTTGAAGCTGGTTGTCTGCACTTTTGAGTGGTTAATGCCAAAAATAATATCAAATATGAAGTTCTCAAAAATCATGCATACCGAAGCTAAATATGATCTACAAAATTTCATGACTAGAGTGGGTTCTTTTTATACTTACTTTGAGACTATAGAGTAAGTAAATTAAAAAACAGCAAAGTTGAAATTGATGTTAAAAAGTTACAGTTTAGGTTGGTCTAACATAAATAGTTGGTAACGTCTCAGCGAAGTATATTTCTCAGGCAATGATACGACAAAAAGGCCAAAAAGCATCCAAAAATCTAATTGGCTAAAATTTACTGCGGGATCAGTTTCATGTGTAATTCTTATCAAAATCAGTGTATCCCAAGTGCAAAAATCCATTAAAAAAGTATAAAACAAAACTAAAACCTTTCCATTTCAGTGCTTGCACTGACAACTCAACACAAGTTTTGCTCTATTTCAAACAATTACATACAATATTGGTATGTAATTGTATTTATTTATAATTATTGGATTTATTTATTTAGCGCAATAAGGCCAATTAGATAAAAAGTTCGATCAGAACTTCAGCTCAGAATAATCGACGGAGGTCCACAGCAACACCACAATTCCCCGGCATTCAATTAATAGAAACATTAAGAGACAAATTTCAGCAAGATACATTCTGTACACTAATGAGAGAACGAATTGAATGATAATTTTGCCCACATGGCGAAGGCGCGGCACATTCCAGCACATACACTAAAGATAGAGAGAGCAAGCAAGACCAAAAGGTCATCGCAGTCACTCCAGCATTTCCTGTAGCCGACAGCTAAAGGCACATACTATGCCTTATTATACATCCTTCATCTCTGGTGCACGTGCACCTCATGTCAATATTCAACCAATTTTCATTAGTATGCAATATTGCATACATAATATTGTCTACTTTGTTTTGATCAATTAAAATTCTTCAGGGTAAAGAATACTTATCAACTCAAATAGCTTCAGACGCTGGCGCCCCGAAGGAGCTTCACGTTTTTCTCGATGTTTTTCAACGACTTAACAATATTAATACTGGATATCATTGTGTTTTTTCGCCCAAATACTATGTTTAATAAAGAATTTGTTGACTTCGAACATTCCCAGCAGATAGTATAAAATACAGATAATGTTCTCTGAGCAAGTGCTGCTATAAAAACAGAAGATGCAACATAAATTTTTATTATTCATTATAAAAACAGAAGATATAACATAGGAAGCGTCTTTATTGAAACAATGGTGACGGTCCAGAAAATATACACATACACCGCAGTTAACATGATACTTGTTAATGATACTTAACTTGTTAACACGAGCGCTGTTATAACGAGCCGCACGATTGTCGATGTAGCAAAGACTTTATTTTACATTATATTACAAAGCTTTTATATTATATTAAGGTTACAAATTTTACATTATATTATATTATTGAACATATGATACGTGATATCAACGCGACTGCTGTTAACGAGCGCCCCGCACGATTGTCGATGTAGAAAAGACTTTATTTTACATTATATTACAATGCTTTTACTTTATATTAAAGTTACAAATTTTACATTATATTATATTATTTATTATATTTACAAAGTCTATGTAGAGAATGTCAGACCTAAGATGGGAAATAAAAAATATATGTTGCAGTGTCCGCAGCACCTCAATTCATGCAAAAAAATTCAAAGCACTTTTACCGAATATGAGTCATATTATATAAATTGGGATAACCTTGGAACAAATAGACATGTAAATAAAACTACAAGATAAGTAGGCTAATTCAAATGTTGAAAAGGCTGTAGAGCTTCGCCTAAAACTCAGAACGGATAAAAACGTCCCGGACTTGAAATTAAATGTTTTGAAATCAGTCATGATAAGCGATGCCTGAGAGAGGGGCAATAATTAAAGCTAAAAAAAATTGTACTGGTAATACTTATAATTCCATTTCGCATTCCAAAACTATCACCCAAAGCTTTTAAACATAATTAATTACTGGAAACCATAATTTTCAGAAAAAAATATAAATCTCACTTCTACGATTACTAGGGCGAGTGGTCTTGTCAGTTACTGCACTCGGAAATGATAATTGTTTCAGTGAGTGAAATAATATCATCGAAGTCACAATCACGTCATAAGTAAAGAGTTCNATAAAGAGTGCAAAGCAAATAATATTATATTGTAGTATACTCTAATTTTACGGCAAATTAAAATTAGCAAGAATGATTGACTAGCACATTTAACGAAGAGATAGGACCGCACGATCATAAATATAAATAAATCAAAATACGTTTCGCGCGTGAGATCCTAAAATATGAAACTTAAAAAAAGATAAAAAAAAGATGTTTACTAGTAAATGTGTAGGAAAGGAAAAGAACGTCACAAGAAGGAAAAAAATATAACTCAGTACTCACTGCAGTAAGTGACAGAGAGCGCATTTTCTCGTCCACAGAAACGTGAAAACACGGACGGACAGACAGACGGACGGACAGACAGGCGAACAGATAGGCGAACAGACGGACGGACATGGCGAGCACAATAGCGCCTTTTTTCATAATTGAGAAAATGCGCTAAAAATGAAAAAAGGTTCACTAGTAAATGTGTAGAAGTCTTCCACAATAAGGAAAAAAAGAGACTCTGACAGCGAAGATGACAGAAGACTTTCCAGCGTCGTAATGAGCTGCAGTAAAAAGTCTATTTTTCACTGTAGAGATAACCGACGAGTTCCTGCACAGAGATGATCGCCTCCAGCACGAAGACGTCTGCCAATGAGGCAGGCATTGATTGCTGGGACACATCGACGAGTCATGGCCGTAATTTGTCCGCAGCAGATCTTAAGGAATGCTTCAGACCGCCGTAACCAACGAGCAACAATGAAGTTTCAAGTGCTTAATAACTTTGCAATATGAGTGACTTCCCTTTGACGTCCTCTTAATTCGCAAGATAATGTTTTTAATGTAAGACGCTCTTCAGCAAATCTTAAGGAATAATTCAGACTGACGTAACCAACGAGCAACAAAGAAGTT